CCCAGCTGGCTCCCCCCTCCTGGCAGAGAGTTGCAGAGAGTGAGGAGGTCTCCCCTGAGCCTCCTCTTCTCCAGGCTGAACAGCCCCAGCTCCCTCAGCCTCTCCTCACAGCACTTGTGCTCCAGTCCCTTCCCCAGCCTCGTTGCTCTTGATGAATGGTTCCACCTGGGTGTTTCTCCTACAGATCATCTGGCAGCTCTCACCCCTCACGAGCTGCTGGAAGGATCCATCGAGTCCCACCTGCTCCATGGATTGGTGACAGCAGGGGTGAAAACCTCCAGAATGTTCTCCAACAGCTGATGCTTTCTGCAGCCCTGGGAAGGATTCCCTCACTCTGCTGCATCTGTGAGTGAGTCCCACCAGACCTGGGCAATGCCCCGAGGCACCGAAGCAGAGCAGGCAGTGGGGACAGCCGTGGAGATGGAAAGTGCACCAGAATTTGGATAATCATCACAGCCCAACCTGGCAACCAGCACAGCCCCAGGCCAGACCCCAAACATGCCCCACAGGGCTGAGACATCTCTGCCAGCTCAGGGATCTCCACCCCTTTGCATGAGCCCCAGGACAGCCACATCTCCTGCTGCCCAGCAGGGCAGATGCTTCTCATCCCTTTGGGATCTGCTGCTCCTTGTCCTGGTCTCCCAGGGCGAACACAGCTGATCCTGCACCTGGAGAGCCCCATCTTCTCCAGCCACAGCCCCTGTTCTCAGAACCCCAACCTGACTGGATATCCTCTTGTACGTGGTGCAGCTGGGGATGGTGCCTGTGACAGCCCCTTCATCCATGGGCATGAGACTGATTCTTCCCACTTGGCTGCAGGCAGCAAATCCATGTGGAAGCGGCTGTGGGGCTGCATCCAGAAGCAGGATAATTTCCCTAAAATGTGAGAAAGACCTTCCACTTCTAGAAATGTTGTGGGACAATTTCTTTTTCTCATCTTAGGTACTCTGGGGAGATGTGAAATGTTTGCAGAAGGTGTCAAAGCTGAGGAGGGTTCTTGGAAAGCCAACAGGCCCTTTGTGAACAGCACATGCTCCTGCCTGGTGCCACTGGCACATAGAAACATATTTACTAAATAAGGAGAAATTATCTACTTTGGCACAGTGGGAAGACATTATTGAAATGGAGCTGAGCCACCCACTGAAGACTTAAAGCTTTCCATGGTTTTGCCAAGTGACACATGAAACCTTCCTAATGTTGATCTTGTCAGCTCCTATAACCAGGAGGAAGATATTGGCTGTTCTGTGTCAGTGGGTGGCCACGGTTCAACAGCGATGTCAGTTTGAATATCCCAAAATCCAGGCTGCTTTTCAGCCTGAGGCAAAATATTCCACAGGAAAAATAAAAGACTATTCCAAATAATCCAAAATTTCCAGCCCAGGCAGGGACCCTGATATACTTTTTGGACATTTTCAGGGTATTTCCAGGCCCTCCCACCTACCTCTGAGACACCTGATGCATTTCAGCATCCCCTTTTGGCTGGAATGGGCTACCCCCACTCCCAGAGCAGCCCAGTGACTCCTGCTCAGGGGTGGTGGGTGACAGATGGATGCTGGGATGTGCTGCTTGGTCCGTCTGCAGTTCCAGCAATGTGTCGTCCCTATTTTTGTTTCTTTCTGATGAGCTCCAACCCTCCCACTGGCTCCCATAGCCCCAGTCCACTGGTGGGTGGTGGTCACAGCCACACTCCTCAACCTCCCTGGGACACCCTCTCCAAGACACACCACCAGGACACTGTGGAACCCCCACTGCAATCCCTGAAATCCCTGCCTGGGCCCCCTCAGCATCCCAAGCTCCATGTTTTGACAACAGCATTTCTTCCTACACCCAAATCCAAGAGGACGTCAGTGGAGGTGGCCAAGCCCCCCCCCAGCAGTGGTGTGGACATCCTGGCCCTCTGCTCCCCTGGAGTGTGGGCACACAGACATCACAGGGCTCTGGGAAGTTTTCCAGCCGGGCAGTGGGCAGGTGTTGGCTTCCAACCCAAAATCCAGTGATTTAGGAACTGTAGTTGAGGATGGTCAACAATGAAATAACTTTAGGAGCATCTGAAGGAAGTCAGACACATGACCCAAAGCTAAAAAAAACCAGAACACTGCTTTGCTACAGCTGTGATTTCCTTTTCTTTTCACTTTTGCGTGAGGAAAGACCACCCACAAAGTCAGGGATGGTCACAGGAGAAGGGAGGCAGTGCCAGCCTCTCCACAGGGCACACGGTGGTGGAGGAGGTACACATGGTCTCACCTACCAAAAGCATTGGCACCATCACCCCCACTGCCCACCCTGGCACTTGGGGGGTGGGGGGGGTCCAGCCAGCCCCAAACTGACCCCAAACCCAGAGCCTGGATTTCATCAGGTGGAAAAAAAGGGCCCTGAAGCTCCTCCTTCCCCCTCTGCTGCACTTACCACATCCCCAGGGTGCTGCAAGGAGGGTGCCAGTCCCTGCCCCCCTGGGTGCTGGCAGAGCCCCTGCCCCAGGCCGAGGCACAGGGCAGCCCCCAGCCCGGGCAGAGCAGCCCCAGCACTGGGGCATCTTTGGAGAAGTGCAGGGAGGGCTGATGGAGCAGGGGCACTGTGGGGCTGGGAGCAGAAAAGCCAGATTTTCAGGCTCCTGCCTTTGAAGTCCCACAGCTCCAGGGCACCTTGCTGCATTTTGAGGCTCTGCACTGAGCCCCAGCTCTACTTGGGGGCCCTGGCACTGGGGTCCCCTGGCCTCATTGAAGCAGGAGCCCATGTGCTGGAGGGGCTGCGAGGCCACATACCTACCAACCCCGTGTTTTGCCTCAGTTTCCCCACCTCTGGAGGCATTAGAAACACTTCCCATGGTCCTCTCCCTGCTTTTCAGGCTGGCTGGGAGTGTGCTGGCACCACATCCCTGGTGCTGGGGGACACACCAGCTGCCAGCCCTGTCCCTGCTCTGCTCCCTGCTCCGAGTCACTTGGCTATTTATTTGTTTTTCAGCCTCTGGGTGACCTTTTCCTCTGCATGAGTAATTCAGCCCTCACAGGCAGCGGGTGAAGCCGTCCCACCTCCCACCTGCTGGCACTGGCTCTGCTCTCACCCCCAGCCTCAGCTCCCAGGGTCAGGAATCTGCCCCGAGAGGATGGATTGGGCAGATGTGTGTGTCTGCACACAAGGAACTCCCAGACCTGGGGGGTTTGGGGAGCAGTGCAGGCCCTGGAGGATACGTGGTCCAGGGGCTCTGGCTTTGGGTCGTTCAGCAGAGCGATGGGAGGGCTCAGGGTGGGGATGGAAAAGCTTGGCTTTCCTCATGCCTGGGCCCAAAATGCTGACATAGCAATTTGGCTTCTCTTTCTCTTCCTCTCCCTCTATTAACTGCCCACGTTTCTCCCCAGCTCATGGGTACTGTGGTCTCTCTGCTGCCTCACTCATCCATACACAGCGGATGTGCCACAGCCAGGGCTGGCACCTACAGCCACACACATCTCAACCATTTTCTCCCCCAGTTTGTTGTTGGCAGTTGGAAAACAGAAAATAGCTATTTATGGTGAGCAAGAGAGCAGAAAAGCCAAAAATGGGGAGTCACACTGCCCAAAACTGGCAACTTTGGAAACCCCCCTTGCACTGGGTTCTCCCCACCCCTGGTACCCTCCACAGCACAGGCTCGGGATGCACACAGGGCTTTGAATGAGCCTCCCTGAATGCCCTGACTCAGGGAGCTGGAGATTTAAGAAAAACCTCAGGAGAGAGATCCTTGCCATGGAAATGCTGTGTGAGCACCAGCACCTTCCTGACAGCCCCATTTTCTTCCAAAATGTGTGTGGGGATCTGTTTTGGGGGCTGGTCCACACAAGGCTCCACACCTAGAACATCTCCTGTGGATGGGGCCCCAGGTCCCACCATCCCTGGAGCCCACCATGTTGCTGCCATAGCAATGGGATGGTGCAAAGCTCCATCTGCACTGTGTTTGGGTCCAGCTTCATCTATGTGCCCCCCCAACTTGCCCCCTCCAGCTTCTCTCCACTCACAAGCCAGCAGGCTCTCAGCAAACACAGCTCTGAGAACCAGGTGGCCAAGGAGGCTTCCTTGGGTGGAAAAACACCCAAATGCCTGTTCCAGCACTGAGCCAGCACAAGCCTGGCCCTGCACGGTGAGCAGACTCCAGCCACCATCCCTCCCCGGAGCCACCTTGGCTCTGCCCTGGCACGGGGACAGGACCCCGTGGGCCCCATGGGGTCTGGCAGAGGTGGCTGGTGTGCAGGCTGGGGCCAGCAGCCACAGCCCGAGGGGACAGGACACTGCTCTCCCCCGTTCCCACGCGGCCGGGCAATCTCCGGCAGGATCTGCAGCAGCCGCGGGGCTGGGGCTCAGGCTCCGGCTTGCGGAGCTCGGTGGCTCCAGGCGCTGGTGTCTGCGCTGCCTGTCGGGGCAGGGCCGTCCCTTCCCCTGCCCGCAGAGCCGGAGCGCTGCTCCCGCGTCGCCTGCCCACAAACCACCGTGGGAATCCCTGGGGACACGGGAGCAGTGGGATGGGTGACCAGAGAGGCTCGGGGCAGCAGTGGGGGGGGCTTTGGAGCCCGACTCTGGGATGCTGGTTTAGGGGGATGCCAACAATCAGCAAAGCTCTGTACAGGATTTGTGCTCTCCTCTACACTGCAGGGTCCCACAAATCAAAGCAACACCAGGGTAAGAAGCAGAAGGTCCTGTTTGGGGACAGTTTTGGTACAAGGAGTGGGGGTCCCCAGTGCCCTCCCAGCATTCCCCATCATCTCAAGGACATCCCAGGGTGGGACAAAATCCAGCCCCTTCTCAACATGGGGGCTCAGGGGGAGCTGTGTCCCCAGCCACATCCATCTGTCCCAGTGTCACTGTCACACAGGCAGAGCTCCCTGTTCCACTGCTTCCTTCGGGCACAGCCTCATCCATCCCCTGTCCCGCAGGAGAGGCCCAGGGGTCCCCACCAGTGCACCAAGGTCCTGCACATGTCAGCTGAAGGGTGGTGGGTCCCTGGACAAGGATGTCACCTCCTGCCATGTCCTTTGCCCCTTTGTGCCAAGGGGATGTGGCTTGGCCCCTGCTGCCGTGCCAGGCCAGCCCCTGCAGTGCCTCTGTCCTGCCCCAGAGCAGGGGGAGCCAGTGCCCGCACTGGCCTCTCCGGGGCCACCGTCCTTGTCCTTGGGCTGCACAGCAGTGGCCTCACTTGCCCGCTGGGATCCCGTTTTCCCCACCTCCTGCCGAGCCGAGAGCCATCTCCATCCGACTCCTTGGATGCTGCGTGTCCATGGGCTGTCCCACTGGGGCTGTGTCGAACTGCACCACTGCAGAGAGAAGGCGCCTGTCACCCACCTGGCCAGTGCTGGGACATGGGGCAGGGCCCAGCCCTGAGGGGACTGGGGTCCAGAGCCAGCCACCATCCTCACCCCATCCCACGTGCAAGATGGCAAAGGGTCCCATGACCCTCAGGCCACCGCAGACAGAGGGAGGATGATAGAAAGTCCCTCTCCAGAGATGGGGGATAAAAACCTATGGGGGCGTCCCAGCCAGTGCGGGGGGACACAGGACTACCACCCTTGCAGACCACCCGAATCCATGGGACCTCTGTGATTCCCCTGGGGAAGCCAAACCCCTCAGAGATGGGACCCGGTGGCCAGGGACCTCCTCCCCCAGTGGGTCCTGCACCCCAACCCGCGGTGCAGCGGCGGGTCTGGTACCTGCTCGGCAGCTGTGCCGGGCGCGGACGACCTGGATCGCCTGCTGGTTCTTGAAGCGGACGAGGCCCATGGTGATCTCGGCGTTCCAGCCCGGGTCCTCCTGGGCACAGCGGAAGTCAATCTCGTGGCTGTCGTCCATCACCACTGTGAAGTAGATGTGCCGCTCCTTCCACTCCACGCACTCCACCGCCTTCATGCGGGCGAAGCTCAGCTCCTTGCGCCGCGAGCCCTTGGGCTCGAAGAGCTGCAGCCCCTTCTCTGTCAGCAGGCACCGCTTCTTCTTCCAGAGCTGTAGCAGCCCCCCACTCCGCTTCTCCAGCACCCCCTCCCTCAGCACCTTCTCGGGGGTCATAGCGGCCCCTCGGCCCCCGGGATCCTCGGCACCTCCTGTGGGCTCAGCCAGGCATCACCCGCTGGGGGATTTCCAGCCCCTTCACGTCAGAGCTGAGCTTCCCGGGGCCGGGACCCCCACGGTGGCTGTGCTGCCCTCCTCGGGGCTCTCCCTGCGCTGCGCTCCCACCTCTCAGAAAGGGTGAGCAATGGGGTGCCCCATGCCGACCTCAGCCCTGTTGCTGGGGCTCTGCTCCCTGCCCCGTGCAGCGTGTGGGATCCCGGCGCCGCGTGCCCCAGGAGCTGTCGCTACATGCCCGGCCGCTCTCCCACTCGCATTCCTCCCGCCTCGCCTGGCCCCTCCTGCGCTCAGGCTCCCTTCACGCCCAGGCGAAGCCCGGCCAGGCCCCACTTCACCCAGGAGGTGCTTTTGGGGTGCCCGCAGGCAGGTGCTGCCCCACGGTCCTTGTGTGAACAGGCAGGGTGTGGGATGGGTCTGCACGGCAGCAGTGCCAGGGCTCAAGGACTTCTGCACGGCAGCCCAGGCATGGAGTGCAGGGCCAGCTGTTGGGGGTACAGCACCAGCTGTTGGGGGTACAGCACCAGCTGTTGGGGGGTGCAGCCCCACTGGCACAGGGCTATAGGGTGCAGTGCCAGTGGGCACAGTCGGCTGTGGGGTGCAGTACCAGCTGGAGAGGGGACCCTGCATAAAATGCCAGCCAGGAAGGGGTTACAGAGTGCAGTGCCATCAGGGTTGGGGGGCTGTGCAGTGCAGTGCCAGCAAAGAAGGCACAAGGGGGTGCAGTGCCAGGGCAAGGGGTTACAGGGTGCAGTGGCAGCAGGGGCAGGGGGCTATGGGGTTCAGTGCCAGCCAGAGCATGGGGTTATGAGCTGCACTGACAGCCAGGGCAGGGGGTTATGTGGTGTTGTGCCAGCTGCAACAGAGGCCTGTGGGTGCAGCACCAGCCAGGCAGGGGCTGTGGGGACCACTGAGTGCAGTCCAAGAGGGGAGTCAAAAGCAGAGAGCAGACAGTAGCAATGGGAACAACCCTTGACACCCACCACCCACCCAGCCACGCACCCAGGGGTGCTGGGCCACCCCTCAGCACACAGAGCTCCCATGCCCCAGATCTGCTGGGACAGGGACTTGAAGTCCCCAGGCTGTCCCACAGCAAGGACCAGCATCCCCCAGCCTCGTGTGACCTGTGCAGGGGGGATGAGCTGTCAGAGCGGGGCTGGGACAGCACAGCACAGCCCAGTCCCGCCTGAGTCCTCCCTCCCCTGCAGCGAAACACCAGTCTCCTTTCCAGCCCGTCTCGTTCCCGGCCACTGCAGCTCCGTCTGTTCCCGTGCCAGCACCTGGCACCGAGGGGTTCATGGTGCCGTGCTGGGCTGCCAGGGGGACATCTGGGGACTTGTGCTGGCTGTGGGCTGCTGGACAGGGTGATGGTCACAGCCTGCTGGGCTACTGGATGTGCCCCCCACAGATGTTGAGGGTGTGGTTCCTTCACCCAGGTGAGGTCTGGAATGGGAAAAAGTTCCCCCAGAGATGTGCCAGGGTCATCGATGGGGGCTGGAGGCCTCTGATCAGCCCATGGCTCCTTGGCACTCAGCCATCAACCCAGCACTCACCTCCTGGATCACCCTGCCCGTGCCCCTGCAGATCACAATCCCATAGAGCCTCTGGATGGAGCCCCTCTTCCCCCAGTCCCTCCATCCTTCCTTCCCGGTCCTTCCCGGGGGCTTTGCTTGCAGCTGGCGTGGCCAGGGGGCAAGTCTGCAGCGGTGATGAGATGCACCTCATTATCCCTCATTAAGAGGGCAGGGCAGCTGTCGGAGCCAGGAACTGGTTCGTGCTCCCTGGGGCCAACCTCACCACGCTGGCAGAGATCCCGGGTGTCCCAGGAGACCCGGGTTCCTGACGTCAGGTGGCCCCGGCTCCCCTGCGGCCCTCACCACCCCCACAGTCGGGGGGCCAATGCCTCCCCGAAGGTCACCTGAGCACCCCAGCACCTCCAGGAGGAGCAGATGTGTGGGTCCCCTTCCACAGGCTGTTTTCCCATGCACAGGTAAAGCTCAGCTCTGGGGATGCTGAGCCCTGGAAGCTTGGGGGTTGTGTAGTTTTGGGACGGTTGCTCCCAGTGCTGCTCTGGTAAGCTGGGATGGCTGTGGGCAGTTTTGTGTCAGCATCCAGCTCAAGCTCCATCCTCACAGCACAAGGGAGAGCCAAGGGCTGCCAAACCCTCTGCCCAAGACGCCAGCTCTGCTGCTCACTGTGCTCTCTGCCTTTCTGGACTCCAGCCACCAAGGGAAGGTGATCGGCCCACAGCTGTGGGTGTGAAGGAGCTTTGACAAGGTCCTTCCCGCTCCCCTCTCCCTGTCTGTCTGTTCCCAGATCCACAGGGCAGGAGGCCCATCTTGCTGGGCTGCCTGGGGGATGACCTTGCAGCTCCTGCTCTCTAGCAAAGCCAACAGGACTCGCTGTGCCAGGCTGCTCCGTGGCCACCCACGGTCCCCACGCTCATCCCGTCCACACAGAGCCCCCAGGGCAGGTAACGGGGCTCAGTCCTGCCCTGAGGTGACATCCTCACAAAGCACAGTGGCACTGTGACATCCCCTGCCACAAGGGCCACTGGCCATGGGGCTCAGAGGCTCCAGTCTGACCCTTTAAGTGGTGTCATCACCACCAGGCTCCAGGGTCCTTGGCCACGAGTTGACCCTCTGGTTCATCTCTTCAGGGGCAGGTTTGGGTCCCACAGCCCCTTTCCAAGGCTGGCAGGCCCCCGAGGGGTGTGAACTGTTGGACACAGCCAGGGCCTGCTGCCTCTAAAGGGAGCTGGACATCCCTGGGGCCGGGGCCCTGCCGTGCTCAGTGACCAGCAGATGGTCAGAGCTGTCCCACTGCAGGGCAGGGGATGTCCAAAACACACATCTAATCTCTCCCAGCCTGTCTCCAGAGCAGAGGGGCTCCCACTCCTCCCCTCTCTGACAGAACCTCTACAGCTATGGGCAGAAGGGACTAAAGACTGACTTGTTGTGGTTTTATTGACTAACTAGCATTGCTTGAGCATGATCCAGTCTGTGGCACATCCAGCTGACGTTGCAGCAGCTCAACATCCCTCATATGCTCCCGGAGAAGGCAGCAGCTTCCTGACCCCCCTCATGCCTCCATGGGGAAGCAGGGCCTCTGCCAAGTGAAGGAACCAGGTTTCTGTCTCCACTCTGAGGGTAGTACATGAGCCCTCCGTGCTGCAGCTCCCGACCCCACCACATCCCTGCACCTGGGCTGCTGCTCCACATGTCAATGCCACCATCAAACCCAACCACACATCCCAGAGCAAAGGGACATGCTAGATTCTGGGTCCCAGGCTGGGAAACCTGGAGGGAGGGGGGAATTTTTGGAGGTGTTAAAGAGCTTACTCCCCATCTCAGCTTCAAAAACACCATGGGTGTTCAAAAACATGAGGGTGCAATGAACAGCAGAAAGTGCTTGAGTCAATAGAGGAGCCCAGGTCCTGCCCTACCAAATGATTTCTACTTCTTTTGTGCTTCTCAGAACACTACCCACCTCATTTACTCAACCACAATGTCTATAACTTTAAAAAACCCCAGAACTAAATTCCCTGTGGAGTTCCTGATTCTGAGCTGCACTGAAGCTGAGCTGTGGGTATGTCACACCGGTCCAACAAGAGAATCACAGAAAGGGAGTAAAGAGTTTAGATGAAAACGAATTAAACCTGGGCAGCTGCCAAACTGGAGGCTTAATGATCCTCAAGCTGCTAAAAATCCAGGGAGTAGGTGAAAAGCTGTTAATTATTTGGCACTGCTGGGTATGCCTGTTTGGAGAGGTGCCACCTAAAAGCACTGATAAGGGTTTTGATAGGGTGAGCACACATGTTGTGCTACTGACACACCCCAGAAAGGCTGTCCTGGGCCTCCCAGCATCAACCACTGCTTTTGGAATAGTTATCCCCATCCCTGGAAGTGTTGAAGGTCAGGCTGGACAGGGCTTGGAGCAACCTGGGCTAGTGAAAGGTGTCCCTGCCCATGGCAGGGGTTGGAATGAGATAGGCTTTAATGTCTCCTCCAATCCAAACCATTCTGTGATGATCCATAGTGGGAGCAGGGGGAGAGCCCAGCTAAGCCAACCTGCAGAACTCAGCACATTCCTGCCAAACCACAAGTGCCAACACTTCTCCTCCTCCTTTCACCTCCTGACCTCCAGCTCTGGGCACCCAGTGCAGCTCCTCAGCCCCAGAGAGGAAATAAACTGTCTGGCACGGTCAGGCCTGGGTCAGCTTTGATGTTCTGGATGTTTATTGCTTGCTTGGTGACGCGGCACAGTGCAGCTGAGCGCTCATCCCGGCAGGACGAGCACACATCCCGGGATGGGACACACGGAGCAGAACGTTTCGGGCACAGGGGCCTCGCTGAGGTGGGGGTGAGCAGCCCACAGCCCAGCCCCTGGCCCAGCAGGACCCGGTGGGGACAGCGCTGGGATTGCCCTGGCTCCAGGGTGTGCTGGGTCGGGGCGGGCAGGGAGAAGCAGCGGGTGGCTCTGGATGACGGTGAGGATGCTCACGGCGGGCGTGGGAAGGGTCGGGCAGCACAGACTGGTTTGGACAAGCCCTGAGCGAGCACAGAGCCAGCTCCTGGTGCCTCACTGCGAGTGGACGAGTGCCCCGGCGCCCTGCCCAAAGCCAAAGCCCTTGGGACCAAAGTTCTTGGCGTAACAACCTGCAGAGGATGGAAGGGAGAGACAGGTAAGGCTGGCACATGAGCAGGTCCTCCTCCCGGAGCAGGTACTGCCTAAACAGGACAGGGTTTGTTATATTTGTTGGGCAAACAGGGAGGCCACAGGCCCAGCAGGAGATTCCCTGGCTCCATGGCCAGTCAGCACAGCCAGTCCCCATATGCAGCTCCCAGGGCCACAACCTCCCCAACTTCCATCCCATCCTGGGTCCCTGCACAGGGGTTTTCACCCCCTGCCACTGCCCTTCAGAGCCCAGGACAAGCCAGCAAAAAAGGTGGGACTCACCTTTACAGTAGATCTCCCCATCTTTGTCTGCCAGGGTGGTGGACTCCAGGCTTTTGCCACATTTGGCACAGCGGAAGCAGGACTTGTGCCAGGACTGTGGGACAGGAGCAGAGCCTGGTCAGACAACACCCAGGGACAGGGCAGCAGGCTTTGGCTACCAATGGGCTCACTTCTCTATTTCTGACCCGAAGTTGCTGGCAAAGAGCTCTCAATGGGATAAAAGCTTTTCTCTGGAAAGCTCTGACCTCCCAGCCCCAATGGGAAGATACAGAGAGGAAACACCAGGGTCACTGCTCCTGTGTTGATCTGGTTTTGGAGACCTCTTGCCCCCACTCACAGAAGTAATTTGTACAATAATTTGTACAATAATTTTTAAGGAGCAATCCCCCCCCTTTGGGAATTGTCCTCCTCAACCAGCATGATAATTCCCCCCCAGTTATCCAGCTGAGAGCCATGGCTGCTGGACGTTAGCCTGGGGGTGGCAGCAGGGTTGGGAAACCTGCCCCCACACAACCACAGCTCC